TGAAACAAAACCATACTAAAGTGCTCACACGTCCTTATGGAGCAGCACACACGCGTACATGAAGTCAGTTGATCATGCTAATTAGCCGTAGAGCTTCTTCCTCTGCGGTCTGACTACTCGTGCAATTGCAAGAAATCCTGTACAATTCATGCAGTTGCAGGTACATAGTGCCAGTGTAAGGTATTTAGTGCTGGATTCAGGGCCAGCCGCCGTGGGGATAGTCGCGCTATTGCATCATGATAGACCTCACCATGGTCCTCAACAGTTTAGGAGTGATCCTATGCCCACATGAATCATTCAACACGACCGGCCCTCGTTGGTCTCCTGTTCATCGCAATCTGCATCTTCCTATCATTCATCATAGTCCCAAGATTCCTATACCCTCTAGTAGAGACGCCTTCTAGTATCAGTCCAAGCCCATCCCCCTGGCTGAACAGAACAGTCGTCAGCTTCGTCACCACTACAGTGAAGGGCTGTAGTGTGCTGGGCTCTACTGCACTTATCCTTCGTGCCTTGATAAGAAGGAGAGCCGTAGCAAGAGGCTCAGGAGCACCTCCTAAGAAGAAGGCTGAAGCTCGAAGGGTTATGGCTAGGTTCTCCGAGAAATATGCTCAACGAACAGGGACTAAATTCTGCCGAGACCGAAGGGTCACCGCCCGAGTAATCAAAGGTCTAGCAAAGGTGGTGTCACACTCGTGTCACCATCGATGTTGATGACTCTTGTTGTCAGCATAAAGTGGAGCTAGGGGCACCTCTCTGTCCGTGCCGGGACTACGATGACAAGGAAGCTGAAGTGAAGCGAGCCTATTGGAATTGCCCTTGTGTGCCTATGAGGTTTGTGCTACCGTCCCTACCGTAAAATATCCATCTTCTCCTCCAGGACGAAAGGGCACTGTCACTGTATGTTGTTCCTACAACCGGACAGTGATTGGGCATCCGACAGCACCCCAAGGATCACCGTGACCGACATAGAAGACCTTGCACCTGATGGACCTTGACTGTTGCAGTGACGTTTCCACTCGTTGTTGTCTAGTGTTGGTAGTGGAGCATTAGACTGGCAGTTGCGATGGACATAGACTCACTCTCCTCGCATTCATCAGACGTAACAGTAGTAGTAGACGCATCCCCAGTGTCTGGCCCTTCCCGACCAGCCTGGCATAAGGAGGGCGAGCCGATGCAGTTGCTCAGTGTTGAACAGGAAGATGGCAGGGAAAGGGTACTGCAATAGTAGTAGTGGGTGTAGGGTAAAGGGTGCCTCAGGTTACTGTGTGCTCGAAGGCTAAGGACTACTTCATCAATAGTATTGGCAACAGGCCTGTAGCCGTAGTAGTGGTATGTGGCCTCTACCGTAATACTACTACTGCTATTCCTAGCCCCACCGACGACTTCTAGTAGGTACGGGTAAATCCTACTTGCTCAACCTATTGAGCCATCACCACCCTCACTCTGAGGAGCTCGGAGGTGCCGACAGTCCTGCCTTCACTGTGGGCGCTACTGTCAACGCCTGTAACGATGGACAGTGTGGAGGGGGCTCATCGGAACTCCTCAGGCACTAGTGGGATTTGGATGTGGGCGAGTAGTATTAGCAATGATAAGGGTAGTTCAGTAGCATAGGTGGTGGGGGAGCACACCCTTCCCTCTAGGCCCTGTATATGTACTGCTCGACTGTGAGGGGTCCGGCAACGTTGAACATGATAGAGATCACGACTCAATACTCTTCGCCCTTGGTACCCTCTTGAGTGGTTACTTTATATACAATAGTAAAGTAACTTCGGCATCTTCCACACCACCTCCCCCTATGATGCCAACTCAGGGCGTGATCGATGAGAGTGCCATACAGACACTGTCGGTGGTCACCTCTCTAGCACAACATATACAGAATGCACAGCAAGACGAAGGTAATCCTCTTGAAAGGCAGTCGTGTGAGGCCGTCCTTCCTTCTCCTCAGTGCTCACAACAGCCCCGCACTTCCTGTGGGTGGTAAGGAGCATTTCTGTAGTGTAGTATTACGACTTCACCTAGTTACGTGATTTCGTCTTGGCCCTTGAAGACCAGAACCATCGCCCGATCAGCGCGCAGGAGTATCGCACCTCCTTCATGTCTATTGTGGAGCGCTATGGCTCAGATACCTCGAAATTGCTCTATCGGACAAGAGTAGTGTGGCGGCGTACCGCAGCCAAGAAAGTCGCGACTGCCGAGAGAAACTTTGCAAGTACGTTAAAAGTACTGGTCTAGCCGTTATAGTTCTGTCCTGCCATTCGGAAGACCATGGGTTCGATACTGCCCGCGGAATCGACCTCATCCTTAGTCTGGGTACATCTCAAAGGGTGTCTATATAGTATTGTAGTTCGCTTGGCATGGTTTAAGACTGATGTAGAGGGATTGTGGTATGACTCTCAGCCTGTTCACCCATCGCGACTGCATAGCACTGGTCACACCAGTAATCGACGAGGAGAAGCTCCAGGCCTTAGACACCGTACCGTATTCGCAGCTCAGGAAGGAGTTCCGAGATCAAGTCGGCAATCTGGCTTCCTCTCGGCCTCCTCGGCTCCTTCCCAGGTTGAACTTTTGAAGACAAAAGTTTTCCGAGATTGCGCGCCGAAAACTATCAACAACGTGCCCGTGACTGGCATAATGTTTGCGAGGCTACTAGATCAGTACGTCCACTCAATCAACAGCAAAGAGGTGGTGTGTCCCTACATCCCCCAGTAGCCGAGAGTCGCCCTTGTAGATACCCAAGGTGGGCTCGGTGTGGCAGGCGTTGCAGGCTCAAGAGGGGGAGAGGGTACGCGGGGTCCTGATGGCCGCCTGTGGGCACGAGTAGTAGTAGTAGGTGCTGGGGGAGTGCTCGAATGAATACCGAACGTTGGTGAGAGACCGTGTGAAGCCGACTCTGCCGATCTTAGAGGCCAAACTCACTGCCAGCATTAAGGCAATACGGCTAGAAGTAGAGATGGGCTTGGCATTGTATACACGACAACATGTATGTTGACAGGTGTACAGCAGATTCAAAAAGGAGTCTTTGGGGGAGAAGAAGGTCGTAGCTCAATATAAAGAGCAGTTGAAGGACCTCATGGATGATGTAGATAAAGAAGTAATCAACTGTGACCAGCTCTGCCGGTATTATGCCCTGGGTAGGTCATCAACAGCAATGAGGTGATGGCTCGAGAAGACTGTACAAGACTGTTGAAGACTCTATGGCAGCCAATAGCACATCGATTAGATGCTTATGATGAAGTCGAAGGTAGAGCGGTGATTGGGGAGGAGGATGGATAGGGCGGGGGTTCTGTCAGCATACAGTCTGGAGGAGGGTATCGCCGAATTTACGAAGGACCTTTCCAAGTTGCGAGAGGCTTATCAAAAGGATGCCAGAGGTGAGAATGAGGGGCAGAAGGCTGTGTAGGGGTGCCCAGGCCCTACCACTGTGGTGATGGAGACCTATACGAAATGGATGACGCCGAAGCAGGAGAAGGGACTTCTGGACCTCACGCGCAGACAACAGGAGGCGGCTGCTCAGCGAGCGGTAGTGTGGACTATCCTAACTCGATTGATCAAGTCCTTTGATGAAGGTGATGATGGAGCGAGAACGAGCTATGGAAAGGGAGCGTGAGCGGTCTGAGAAGGAGTTGGAGGAGAGGAGGGCCAGAGAGCAGCACGAACGGGAGGTGGGGTCCTTGTGGAAAGGATCATCAAGTACGACCATGGTCAGAGGTATCGTCTGGAGCGTACTGAAAAGATGAGGCAGGAGGTGAAGGAACTAGCGCACAACATTGAGGGTATCGACACTCCCTCTCTCGTGGATGAGGAGACCGACGATAGCCAACGACGGATGACGGAGGACATGGAGGTAGGGGGAGGGGCAGTGGACTGTGTGGTGATCGGGCTTGGAGTTCAGACGGAGATCGCACAACTCCGAGGGGCGCTGGATGATCGAGATGATAGGAATAGGAGAGCTCCGTCAACGGCAGCATGCTGTAGATGCACTATAATGTAGAACTAGTAATTAGTTTCGACCTTCACCACCAACACTACTGTGCACTAGTACTTGCCATGTTAACACTGCTATGCACTATACGGTTGTGTTGAAAGTCAGTGGGCTGATGTATTGGAAATCGCAACCGTTGTGAAAGGGAGTTCGTTCTACCGGCAGCACATAGACCTAACCTGATGAATAGGCGCTTTTGGAGTTAAAGACTTCAACAGCCTAGAAGTGATCCTTCTGAAATCCTTCGATGCCGTATAGTAGTCGGCTTAGCTAGTGTATTGAGTCTATGAGAAGAAGGCGAACACCCACCCCTCCTCCTGACGGGGCCCTCGTTAGCACTACGGATGCACATAAGGACCTAATGTCATCCCTGGCCCGTGCGTGGAGGGGACGGGTGTAATTGTCCGCGTCCTCTCTACTAAACAGAAGACAAGTCGGAGTTTCCTGTTGTTTGTCCATTATTAATAACGCAGAAGGGAGAGGAGCACAGCAGCATAGCATGGTTAAACAAGAACAACAACAGGGCATCAGTGATTGTTATATAAATCGTCTACGAGAGTGAAGGGCGTGCAAGGCTGGTGCCAGAATGAACCCATCAAAGGCGTATTTTCGAGGGTATGCTTGTGACTAGCACTCGGATGAGAGCGGTTAACCTAAAGAGGATAAGATGATGTCGTACAAGGATCCAACGCTATTCATGACCAGCTGTAGATCACTGGATACTCTGCCAGTTCGAATAGACCTCATCGACAACACCAGTCTTCACCAATTCGTTGAAGAGAGACTCGAGTCTTTTGTCGGATATTATGGGTAGACCTCCCTTGCTCCTAGAGGCTCGTTCAGGAGTTGGTCGTGGGAAGGCGTAGACGAGATTATGAACAGGGCCAACCGCTCCTGCAATGGGGGCACTGTCATCAGAGGCGGGGGTTTTGACTTACCTCGGTCCTCGAACCCGGCCTGGGTATAAGCATCCTCCTCCTCGAAGTCATCCGGAAAATGTCGCGCCCAAACAGCGACTATCCCGGGGTCTTCCTTATGGATCTGTGCATCAGATGAGACATTGCCGCTGTAGACATCCCTCACGTATTCAACTAGTCGCCTGAGAATCGCGGCCTCTACTCCAACGTTTTTATACTCTTCATGTGCGAACACGTTATTGATGTATACCCAGTCACCATAGTGCTCAGTTTGGACCACCCCAAACTCTGCAGACCCGGCAATAGCCTACAATGGAGGTCGCAACATTTGCTGGTCACGCCATGTGATCCTCACTTTTTGGGACGGATGAGGGGTGTCTACCGCTACGAAAAGCCCTGAGCCTGTGTAGTCCTTCACTGCCCGTATTTTGTCCAGAATATGAGCTGGGCGGAACTCAAGGGAGTCAGTCAAGGGCCGCTGCTTGATACGTATTTTCCCGTTGACGTTCACCAGCGTGCGGAGCTCCAGACCGATCACTATCGGGTTTACTATACAGAGTAGATATGGGAAGAGTATAGTGGTCATATTGGACACTACGGAGCTGAAGGGGATCGTTGGATGGAATTGATGATGATGATGTTGGAGGGCTCAAAAGCGGAGACTTCGAACTGTGGAAATGTACTTCTTCGTGCATTGTCTCCAACAGCGTTGCTCCGAAGGGCCTCTTGGAAATGTTCCGACCCCTGTATTCAGGCCAGAAAATGATATTTAATGATCAGCATTGACCTTCGCATGCTACAGGATGCTACATCGCGGTAATAACACGACAGTAGTATTGGAAACCGTTACCATCGTCGCGAGAGCACCATAGCCAATTCAAAAGCCGCGATCTCCCTGAACAGTCGTCCTCCACTACGTTGTAGTCTAAAGTACCCACCGTGACTTAGCCGCGTGGAACTTCTTGTAAGTGAGGTCTTCCTCCCCCACCGCCTCAAAGACCGAGTCAAAGGAAGGCAGTCCACTGCCATCATCGGCCCCTTCGGGCCTTTTAACGTCCTCTTCCGCCGCCTTACTCAGTCACTGGGTCACTACCTCTTAGCCCTATGGCATTGCCACAGACCTAGTTGAGTTGGAAGTCAGTGGGTTGTTGTATTGGAGTTTGTAACCGCTAGGGAAGGGAGTTCTCTGGCCGGCCATAATCTCGTTTCACATGCACTATATAGCCCTAACCTCTTGAAGTTGAAGACTTCATCTCACTTGAACTGATTCCCCCAAAATTAATGTGTATTGGTGGTAGTGTATAGTCGGTTTAGGTAGTGCATTGACTTCATGAGGAGAAGGCGAGTATCAAAACCCTCCTCTCAACGATGCCCTCGTGAGCTTAAGGACCTAATGTCATCCCTGGCCCATGCGTGGAGGGGACGGGTGTAATTGTCCGCGTCCTCTCTACTAAACAGAAGACGAGTCGGAGTTTCCTGTTGTCTGTCCACTATTAATAACGCAGAAGGGAGAGGAGCACAACAGCACAGCATGGTTAAACAAGGACAACAACAGGGCATCAGTGATTGATATATAAAGATCAGCTATGACAGTGAAGGGCTTGCAAGGTAGATTGTTGCTGCGTATCTTCGAGAATACACCTGAAAAGGACATGTTAAACTCATACGAGGATCCAGAACTTATCATCATCATCACCAGTCGTCAATCACGAACGCTTCTGCCAGTTGGAAGAGCCCTTATTGGCAGCACCAGCATTCAACAAGTTGTTGAGCAAGTACTCGAGTCGTCCGTCGGCTATAATGGGTAGAACTTCTGCAGTCGGTCGTGGTAAGACGTAGACGAGATTATGAGCAGAGTCGACCACACCTGCACTGGGGACATCGTCATCAGAGGCTAGGGTTTCGGTTCACCTCTGTCCTCGAAGCCTGCCTCGAGATAAACATTTTTCTCAGAGGCGTCAATTGGGACCGGAAGTCGCGCCCAAACAGCGACAGCCCCGGGGTCTGTCTTATGGATCTACACGTTAGATGAACAATGGCCGCTGAAGGCTACTCTTACGTATTGAATGAGTCGATCGAGAATCTCGGTCTCTAATAGAACCTTTTTGTACTCTCCCCGAGCGGAGACCTTATTGATGTATACCCAGTCACCATGATAATCAGTTTGAACAACTCCGAATTCCACAGATCCAGCGATGACCTGCAAAGCAACATAGGAGGATCCCAATATGTGCTCCTCACCTTTTGGGACAGAAAGCGGTTTTCTATCGCTACGTAGACTCTTGAATCTTTGTACTCCTTAGGTGTCTGTTTTTCCTCCGCAGATTTTGCCAGACGGAACTCCAACGGGTGTTTTTTAATTCGCCGCTTTCCGTTGAAGCCCTTCAGCGTGCGAAGTTCCAGACCGATCGCTATCGGCAACATCGCATAGAATAGATAGGGGAGGAGTATGGTGGTCATAATAGAGATGGACACCAAGGTTGAGTAGGAAGCTCTACAAGGCTAAAGATGGAAATGATGATGTTAAGGGGCACGGAGACGGAGACCTATGGAATTGTACTGTTTCGTGCGATGTCTCCAATAGCGTGGCTCCGAAGTACTCCTTGAGAAAATTACGACGCCTGTATTCAGGGAAATAGTTATTGAATCAGCATCGACGTCTGCATACTAAGACCTCCATCTCGGTGATAGCACGACAGTTGCATTGCCAATGCAGCATTGGAGAGGGTAACTTGCCCTGGTCGCGATATCACTACTACTCGAGGTCAGCCAACTCCCGAAGGAAGTCTTATTGCCTTTCGTTCTGCCCTTGAGGGCTTTAAGGCTTGTGGGGGAAAAAGGAGTCTTCTTATGAGATGTCAAAGCCCAACAAGAGGTCTCTCAACAATACTTGCCAACTCAGCCTCGGGTGATGTTCAAAGTGGCGACCACTACTGATCAACACAACAACAGTAACACTAAAGGAGATATTCTCAATCATAGTCGTTGCGCATCTTCATCCACAGCTCAGGCTTCCAAGATCGGCCAGCATGGTCCTCACCTGAGACACTCATCATAGTCACCACACACACCTCTCGAGCCGCCCTACCACTCTGCCCCTTAAACCTCTTCAACCGTGTTCTGTCTTTACTAGAATACCTCTGGGAATCTTGCCTCTCCCGTTTGGACATACTGCTGAAGGTTGGCCTCGCCGATTCTGAGACCGACTATACCGGTAACCCCCCCACAGGAGCATCCCCCACCTTCCCTTGGCTCGTCCCCTTCCACCTTGCCCCCATCAGTGACCTGTTGACTCTCTTCAATCCTCTTCTGCGCCTCAGCCCTCTTCCGAGCTTCCTCCCGCTCCTTGGCCAAATCAAAAGCCGCGATCTCCCTAAACAATCGTCCTCCCCTACATTGTAGTCTAAAGTACCCACCGTGACTTAGCCGCGTGGAACTTCTTATAAGTGAGGTCTTCCTCCCCCACCGCCTCAAAGACCGAGTCAAAGGAAGGTAGTCCACTGCCATCATCGGCCCCTTCGGGCCTTTTAACGTCCTCTTCCGCCGCCTGACTCAGTCACTGAATCACCACCTCCCACCCATATGGCCTTACCGCAGACTTATCCTCGTTGTCCTCTTCCCCAGAGCTGTTGCTACTACTACTAGTACCGCTCCGCCGTCTACCAGGGATAGGGTCTACCTCAGAGCCCGACGACGAGGAGGAGGAGTCCGCATCCGAGTACCCCGAGAGCAACATCAACAACTCTCCATCGAAACTCCCGCCCACTACTACACAACAACTAATTACAGCGACAAGGTCATTATAGGTTACGAACAACATCGTCATGCTGATAGTAGCTTACCACACTTCTCTTAAATCGGGGCATACATCTACCCTCACTGACTAGCCCTCCTATCCTTCTCCTGAGTCCCTGCCATCTCAGGCCGAACCATCACCGTACTCCATCGTCGACTCCCATTAGGATTGTCCTTATCCTTCAGCACAGCTGCAGCGGCCATCATAAGGGAGCGCCTACGTTCCTCCATCTTGGCCCCCAACACCGCTTCTAACGCGCTGGGCCTCGGCAGCCCTCCCCCACCCATCAGCCTAGACCCAATTCCACTTCCAATGAGCCGAGACGCCCTAGCAGCCGTCACGGAGCCCCTCGAGCCCGGTGGGGTACTCCAAATGTGCTCAGCTCGAGAGTTTCCCGGTGGGGCCAAGACCGTCAGGTCGGATGGTAAGGCTGAATTAATAGCACCAGAAAGAGTCTTGTTTCCTGATGCACTCTGACGGCGACCCGCCACCACATGGCAAATGGGCTTCAAGGCCTTACGCTGTAACGTGGGGCCCTCTGTAGGCTGAGGCCTCCATCCCCTCTCACTATTGTTCAACATATGACAGGTCTCAGCCAGTGTTGGTAACCCTATCGCACGCCCCACAGCCGAGCCCCGAGGGGCTCTCATGCTGCCCGTTTGCGTAGTACTAATAGTCTTTTTCTTCCCACTTTTAGGATGAGGCGATCTACCACTATTACAAGTCCTAGCTTCTATTACTCCTCTTGAAGTCATGTAAATTCTTGGTATTGTGAACTGTCTACTAAACCTCCTCTTGGGATTACCATCACCACTCGCCTCTGCCCCTCCAGCCTCCCCAGAAGGTGGCACCACAAGAAGACTCCCTTCAGCCAAGGTCCTCGATCGCTGTGGACTCAGCTCGGCCTTAGGTGGGGGTTTGGGAATGATGACCTCGGGGGCGGGCGCCGAGACCCTCCTGGGTCCTTCAATACGTGGTTCCTCAACACGAAGATCTTCCACGACCTCCCCGGATTTTGGTGAACCGCCTTCAGATTGGCCCCCCTGAAGTGAGAAGGCCAACGCCTCCTCCCTCCTCTTCTTCATCTCAAACACCCTCATAGCAGCCGCTTTCTGTAGTCGACGTAGGTCCGCCGGTTGGACCCGCCCCATAGAGTATTCCTCGACATCCTCCAGCCCCACCGGGCTGAGCTCAGTAGTGAAGTAAGCCGACCAGTACCCCTCAGGGCGGTCCACCTCCAACTCCTCCCTAGCAATTAGACCCTCCCCAGAAGGGTGCACGATCTCGTCAGCGAAGAGGGCCAAGGAGCCCAACCTATTCGACTGTTCAGCCTCATTGAGCTTCTTGCGGCCCCTGTCTGGTTCGGCCGGCAGTACCGTATTCCACTTGTCGAAACTCAGCTTATCTACCTCATCAGCGCTCGAGCGTCTTAGGTACCTGACCACCCCAGTGGAGACCTCCTATGACCCCCTCCACACGCTACCATCCATTCACTGCATTGCACTGGCCACACACAGCATCGGCCGTGCTGAAGCCCTTGACAATTCCTCTGCGGAAGGGCGTCGCGGCACCCAAGGCGTCTATAGAGGTCTTGGGCCGGAGGTTGCATTTTCTCATCGACACCACCTAATGCAAAGTACACTCCTCCTATCAGTGTGGGAATATATTTTTGCTTTCCTCAGCTGAGCTCAAATTTTTTCCCTCGAATTCGGGTAGAAGTGTACAAAAACCGAAAAAAGGTTTCCCCAAATTTCCTCAAAATTCTCATATTTTAACCAACACATGTAGTTGACCCTGTGGACATCTCCCGAACTAATAATCTCAGACTCACCGGCCTCCTCAGACCAAGGCCATTGGGTATGACCACGATAGGTGGCGACTCGCCCGATGGAGCGGTGTCGGCCGATGGTACTGATAGCATCAGCTTGACAGGTTTAGAGAAGAGGCCCTACCTGTCCATTTCTGGATGTGTGCCCTATAGGCATCCCATGGGAGGGGCTCACCGGTAACGACCTCTCCACATCGAATGCAATGGAGGGAGTTGAGGAGGTCTGCGAGGGCACTGGACAGCGTAGAGGGGCAGAGGACCTACCTAGGTTGGAGGAGGACGGGTCAGTGGTGGCTGCACTATGCAGAGGGACCACGCATATGGGGGACGATGGTTCACTGTCGGGCTCAGGCATATATAGTAAATCACTATCGACGAGTCTCCTGTGATGAAAGGGGTTGACCACCGTAGTAACGGAGGACAGCGTTGCTAGGGAGGAATAACCGGGCCGTTGGTCCATGGGTACATTGTGTAAGCAGTCACTGTCCTAATCATCTTTGCTCGGCTGCCCACTCGTGGGAGGAGGACCCAAAGCTTCTTATGACTGATCAAGTAATTACTATGGTTGGGCCTCACTGGGAATGCTATGTCGAGTGTATGCGGCCTCTGATGCTAATGAGGACTGCACTGATCGGCTCCAATGTGACGAAGACTACTTCCCTTCCAGATTTGTCCCGTACAATCTCAATAACACTCAAAGGCTTTCTCTACCAAGTTCCATCTGCCTAGTTCCTCCAATGGCACCACCAGCTAGCGATCAAGATTCCAGTGAACACAATTTTCGAGCGGCGAGTGGTTGTGGGCGCGCGCTAAATACATTCCCCCCCAGCGGCGCCACCGTTGCCTCATCGTCGTAGTAGTAGTTGATGCCTATACGTGTCTGAGTCTCTGTTGTTACATTATGGACGCTCTTTCCCCATCCGGGGTCGACCCTGCCCAGACTACTGAGGCCGATAACTCTACCATTGAAGCGGGGAAGGATTCGGCCACCAGCTCGGGTGGTGGTCGCAAAACAGTTCAGGTTGAGGGAGGGCCTTCACTGAGGACTGTAACTACTGTGGTGACCGCGGCTAGTAGGGCGAGTCGTAGATCTGTGAAGCCCGTGACCCCAGTGTTAAAACGACGGCATTCGGGGGGTCAGGGGGAGGCCCCTAAGGTTAATGTCTCGATGAAGGGGACGGTCACACAACAGCTGCCTGCAGAAGTAGTAGGCAATCGTAAACAAATAGGAGGGCGCCCGGAGTCGAAGACTGAATCTGAGGTGGGTATCTTAGGTTGCAGCGAACAAGATACAAAATAGGTCCGGTTGAGGCACATTGTCTCTTCTTAGGGTAATCTGTCCGCCCCCAAGTCCAGTACATCCTATTCCGTCGAATCCAGTGCCAAACGCCTCATCGAGGGGTCAGGTATGATGAACTCTGGTAAGCTCACTCGACAGTCTACCATACCCATGAGGCCCAACGGCCCCCAGTAGGCCCCCCATGCACGCATGTACCAAATCATTGACACTGCACTCCCCTGCTGAGTCCCATCCTAGGTTGTGTTATCAACTGCTACCCCATATCGCAGCTATTACTACCATAACTCGTATCAATGCTCTTCTTCACTCTATCGGCTATTACCTCCATAGTGACAACGGCATTCGATGGCTCCTTTGGGGGCTCTCAGGTTATTCAGGACAACGGTGACTCCTTCCTCACTGTCACCGTGAAGGTAATAGTGATGACCATGCCCCAAGGGGAGTGGTGGGGCCTCAGGTTGGGGAGAAGGTCATTAAAGTGATCCCCGACAGTGGCTCTTTCGACCTCTACCTCATTGATCAAGGGGCATGCTCAGAAGGCCTTGGACTATGCCGTATGGCATACAACTCCAAAGAGTAGGAACGCCCAATTGAGGGGTTAGTATAGGCTGGGCGGGACTCAGGTCCGGTACCCATAAGTTCCCTGATGGGGATGTTATCAAAGACGTGGTTTTCGGTAGTGGCACGGCTAGGTGTCGGCTGGGCTTTGACAAGGCGGAACTGGTACTAGTAGTAGTAGTAGTAGTAGTAGTAGTAGTAGTAGTAGTAGTAGTAGTAGTAGTAGTAAGCTCACACGGTGTTGGAGCAGGTTAATGAAGACGACGAAGGGAATGTAACGGCACACTCCAGGGGCACGCCTATGGAGGCCCCTTACGATGCTTCCTTTGTCGGTAAAGGGTCTCCTAAAGTCCTCTTTCCTCTATGGCAAATCTTTGCCCTCGATGAGGGTCTCCTCAGGATGTACTACTATTGCAAGCTCCTAAGTTTAGTAATGTGCCTCCTTCCTTTTAGTTGGGGTGATGGTAAGGGCTTCCAGGGTATACTGGGTATGGGGTACAAGGCTGGGGAGGACGTGAGCCCTGATGAGGTAGTAAAGCTCCTCTCCCATGTCTAGTGGTGGCCGCCTTAAGTAGCCTCATAGTACTTTGCTCGCTACAGGATCTTACTGTTGTCATCATTATCGTTGTAGGCTCTAAAGCAGTTGAATGCTACAGAGGGCGTATCAGCTGTCACTGGTGTCTCCACCTTAGCCCCAGGGGAGGGCGCCTCGGAATTGTTCACTGACAAGTTCGCCATATGCCTCCCTAGAGGGTCTCGGGTAGGCGGCCACCTAGTTGTCGCTGGCTCCATGCTTTGGTACAGGCTAAGAAGTTGGTCCTGCCCGAGCTGGTGGCCTCTCGTGGTCTTCGTAGCACTCCTAAGGCCGTATCCTTGTCGACTGATCACCCTACCAAGTTCGAGGACCTCACTACTGATGACAAGGGTAGTAGGGTAGTGGTCCTTGGGGGCCTATGAGGAAGTGGTGTCAGGCATGCTCTGGTGGGGGGCCTCCATCCCCCGCAGTCGGAAGTTTCCGATCAATACCCCTGTCATTGGTGTAAGGCATTGGACCATCGGCATCAAGAGCGTCCAGGTAGGCCCCCCCCTTCCTTATGGAGCTGGTCGGATAGTCCTTGCCTCTAGGTAGTGGACTCTACCAAGGGAGGCGGCGGCAAGGTCCTGACCTCCTTCTGTGACCAGTCGCCCTGTGCGGCCCTAGTCGATAGTGGTATGATGCCCCTTCGTCCGTGTTGGAGGAGACGAAGCCGCCCTCCCATCAGGGACATCCCTCTTCGCGTTACCGGTGCCGAGGGTGAAGGAGATCTTCAAGAGCCTCGGGGACCTCAAGTTGGACTGCTCTAATGTACAAGACCTCCCTGATATACAGTAGGGGTGACCATGTTGCCCGAGGGGTAATTTCGTGGCGCGTGACGCTGTAGGATCGCCCTTGGGGACTCGAAGGAGCCCTTGGTGATCACACCCGAGTCGTACGTGATGAAGATCCAAGCCCACGACCTGTCCCTCTACGAGTCCTTCGGCCAGAGTCTGATGCTGGCCGGCGACCTCCAGCGTATCAAGAGCTCTGCTAACCCCAACGTCACCCTATGTAGTCCGAGGGGGACAGAGGCCTTCACTGAACTCCTTGTGTAGGCCTGCCAGCTTTTATGGCATCCCCGGTGTCTCAAGGGACCGTGAAGGACTTCCCCTCGTACCTTCAGACCGAGGACCATCTGACGGAGATGATGGTACTGGTGCCGGCAGTTCGGATGGTGATGGTCGTGGGATCAGATACTAGGCATTCCCATATTCAGAGAGTACACTGTTCTGTTCGACAGGCAGTCTAGTGCTATCGCCTTTGACAGGTGTGTCCCGGCTACGCCCACTATCACTATGCAGTGCTTTGATCAGGAACCCCGACGATGGAAGTGGGTGCAGTAGTAGTACGGCTGCAGGCCAGAGCTCCCTCATCCACCAGGGCCACGTTAGGAGTCGTAGTAGGAGGCCCCTCGCGGTAGTAGGGTACACAAAGGGTAGGGCTAGTTGTGTCTTGGCAGATACGAAGCATGCCTGCTCCGGAGAATCTAATATTCCCCTCGGGTTTGGACTCCCTCCGTAGGGTCGCCCCTCCGTCCAGTGGGGCTGTCATTGGCTCGGAAAGGATGCTCTAACATGGGTGTTGGCCTGATGGTGTTGATCTATGCGCTCCTTGTTGGGTTAGTAGCGGCTGGGTTCAATCCCGGGTCCTATCGTATTCTCCCCTAGGGTTGTCGAGATTCATAACTCTTTCTCCTGCATATAGTCGCCCTATGGTTGAGGATATCCCCTTTACCGCGTCGTAAGGTGTCAGCACCCCTGTCCCCTATGTCCCTCTTCCCCTCTGATACTGATGGCGAAGTGAAGCATTTGAAAGGGGCCACCTTGGACGAGGTAAGGGTGAGGCCCTCTCACTGTCGAGGGGCCCTTCATCAGGTCGTCACGGTCAGGGAGTGCGTTATATTCTCGACACCAGCTTGTGGATGGTGTATTAAGGCCAAGAGGTTCCTCACAGAAGAGCTCATGGTCCCCTGTAGTTACTATAGTCTTCATGAGTAATAAGCATTCATCACTTGGGTGGAAATCGTCGTGCTATTTCGACAGCTCTCCCGTACTAGCAAGAGAGCTCATCAACAGGACGGGTATGAGGACAGTACCAAACATATATATCCGAGGGCGACATGTTGGCGGTTATGATGACCTGCAGAGGATGTAGGAGGGAAGAGTACCCATCTGGGGGAAGGTTACGCTCTGTCAGTTACAGGAGGTGCCGTAGTGGGGAGGGGGGAGAGGAGACGGATAAACCTGTATGTGATTTCATGGCGCGCGGTCATGATGCAGTTTTAAAAGCTTCGCAGTAGTAGCCTCAACCGAGTTTCTGTGTGCCCCTGGCCTTGTTGGGTTCCCGAGTGCTCGTCGGTGCATGCCCTTGGGAGTTCCTTCCTCTGTCGTCATGTCCTCTGCAGTGGACGAGGTCAACCCGAACAAGGCCGAGGTAGCAGCGCCAGAGTTCATCTATCATCAGGCACGGATAGATGGGAGGGAATGTGAGTCGATCATCCATCCGGGGTTTCTGCCAAGTCGCTGTATAGGTTCAATGATGCGCCCTCCTACGCTTGAGCTTGGACTGTTGCCTCAGAAGGACGGCAGTGCACGCCTGGGCTTTGGTGACACTGAGGTTCTGGTGGGTGTCAACGGGCCAGTGGAAAATAGGTATAGTCGGGGGGGGGGGTGTCCAAGCAGCAATGGTGTAGGGGAATTGATCAGATTCCCGTTGGGGGTGAGCACGCCTGGGTACCCGCTGGATGTGACCGTGCGAAGAGCCTCTGGCATGCCAACTGCTGAGGATAAGAGTGTTGAGTACCAACTCACGAAGTTCATTAACACTATCATCGATGCACATCTCCTACCCGGCAATACCATGGTCACTGTAGCGGTAAGGGGCCCTCTCGATGAGCTTAGAGGACTGCGGGTCTCAGGTGGAAGTGATGAACAATGATGGATCGCTTCTGTCGACTATCTTTAACGCGGCGATCCTTGCCCTCTTGGACGCGGGTTCGATTCCTCTCAGAGGTATTTTTCGATCACCTGATGCGATGGGGCCTCATTGATCTTGAGCAGGTACAGCTTTCGCTGCCGCATTGGGTAAACGTTATCATCGCGGTGGGACGCAGATCCTGGTGGATCCAGATCAGTCCGAGGAGGAGGTAGTAGCGGCGTACAACCCAAGGCATCATCAATCGTTTGCCTCAGTCCTCTGTCTTTACTGATACCTTCGTCATCGACATCCACTCGCAGGATGTGGTGATGCTGGTGAGAGATGTCGCCGTCGGGGCAGCGGCCGAGAAGGAAGTGGAGGCCGATGCACTGGCTCCAACGGCGGTAGCTGCTGTTAAAGTAGGTTGCTTGGGGGAGGAATGGTTGGATGCCGCATTGCTGTATTATTGTGTTAGGCATTCGAGAAGTACGTCCGCTCCTGCCTTGCAGTGTATTACCAGAAGATTCGACCTGTCAATGCTTAACCAACGTGAACATGTTGGGATTGTTGTGTTTATTTTAACGACGTCTGAGGGTAGAGGGGATCAGATGAGACAGTAGGCACAATCCACAGCATTTCCAGGTCAAATCAATTTTTCACCGACAAATTTAATTTTTTACCTATTTGGTTAATGTTTTACCTTTTTAATTAACGTTTTACCCATGGCTTTAATGAAATGCCAAGAAAACTAATATTATACCCGGTTTATTTGAAAGTTTAGGAGTTTAATTTAATCAAGGCGCGCCCAATGACCACGTGCACGTTGTGAAAGTCAATGACAACTCGAGGAGTCGTGCCGCTGCTTCGGCAGTAATATTAGTATTGCACTTGCCTTGCTTGTCGCCGATTTTAAATGACTTGAAACTGGGAGAAGAGTCGCTGATCAGCATGACCATAAAACTCAACTTGTTCAACTACCTCTATGCTTTACCTATGTAAATCCCCGTACGATTTCTCCCTCCTTCAGCACAAAAGTGTCTCAGTACATCCCTTGCTATTTCAAGGGTAGTCTATTGCTAAATCTGCACGCCCACATTATCATTGGGCGCGCCTTGATTAAATTAAACTCCTAAACTTTCAAATAAACCGGGTATAATACTAATTTTCTTGGTATTTCATTAAAGCCATGGGTAAAACGTTAATTAAAAAGGTAAAACATTAACCAAATAGGTAAAGAATTAAATTTGTCGGTAAAAAATTAATTTGACCTGGAAATGCTGTAGAAAGGGTCTGTGTATGAAGTAAAACTTCATCGTCGATACCACGAATTGGTTACCGTAGCTACGATACATGTTAGCTTGTGAGGGTGTCGTTCAAGTTTGTACAACCTCAAAACACAGATTATCTGTTGATTGACTCGTAGTGATAGATTTACCGTTGTCATTATTTGCCTGTGTACTAGCTCGATGTGATGTAATGAGATGCATATTTTCCAATTCCTGTGCTACCGTGACCTTGAGTGTTACTGTGGTGTGCAAAATACGACACCTGGGAGATTCGAACTCCCGCGGGCATAGCCCAACGGCTTAGCAGGCCGCCGCCTTAACCACTCGGCCAAAGTGTCTAATTTTGATTTCTGTGAGGTGAGTGTTTTGGTTCACGGAATTCTTATGCACTAATAACTAGCCTAATTGTGACTTGCGCTTCGAATTTCTTATCGGAACGATACAAATATAGGGGGCATTCGCTCGAACATTAAGAACAAGATTGGATATCTCCAAAAGACTCCAGCCCGTGGAATTCTGGAGATTGGGCCGTTACGCAGTTGGATCAACTGGGAACCCCAGTCTGGTAACCGCCAGCGAGACCGCTATAACGCAGTGAAGGGTAGTGAATCGAAGTCCACAGCAACTCAAGTCGTTGTTCAGTGATGTCGGACTTATTCGTATAGTTGTTGACTCACGTTACTGTCTTGTGCGAACCAGGCATGGGTTCACATCACCCAAATGGAACTTATTGGCTCCCCTATTCAGTTGCAACTCCCATAAGAGTTTCCTCTATCCTTGCCCTTCGCTCACAACGAAGGCGGTTCTTACCTTTCGGGGAGAATAGCGACTCGAACAAACCCCCCCAAATAGGATGTACTTCAGCATCAGCATCGATGTTTCCCAAGGGAAGTAGTTGTTTCCCAAAGATTGCTTCTCCCCCTCACTAGAAAGGATGCCGCCCAACACATTCCGAACCCATGCGGCACCTCCTCAATCAACAATCCAAAACCACCAAGTATAGAAATATCATCACCACAAATAAGACAATAACAACAACAGTGTTGTAAATCATCATCACCCTCGCCACTTGTCTGAGTTACTCCAGGCCGCCCATATCGTTGGGCTGATCGTTCATCGTCATTTCACTCAACTGACCTAACACAGAGGGAACTCAGCGGGCCCTACGCGAATAAATGTCACCACCTATCGGAGCTTGGCGTCTCTTCCTGCCCAGGACCAGACCCCTGAAAATGACAGAATCCACGCAACTCGACAACTACAAGGTCTAGTTACTTCTTAGGCGCTCCTGATGCGAACGACTGTTGCTGCTGCTGTTGATAGTAATCATTCAGTGAACCCTCCGACCCTGACGCTGCTGAAGTGAATCCACCACCTGGGGAGGGACGCGCTATGCAAGCGATGCGAACTGAGGCCGCCGGTAACCTTGGAATCGCTGCTGCTGCTGTTGCTGTTGAACCGGCCGAGGTACACCGAAATCATCACCACCGATGGAAGAGAATTCATCCACAGCAGTGTCGTTACCAAACCCACTCGGGGCAGTGAGGGACTCAGCAGTGGAATAACCCTGTCGAGTACTACGGAGCCTCGCCTCTGAAAAGGAGCATGTCCGACTAGACACGACGAACACACATTGTGAATACCTTTAGCCTGTTGGGCCCGTAGTCTAGCCAACTCCAGTTGCTTCTTCTTAGCCACCTCTTTGGCCTCATTCATCTGACATGAGCCCTCCCTCATCAGCCCGGCCAACTACCAAGCCGTCTTACTTTGCTCTGTTCAATCATCTGGGCCAATCTCTCCTCATGGGAGTCCATCTCGGTATAGGTCTTTATTTGGGATAGAGTAACAGCCTCTCGATACCTAAGCAACAGCATCACCTCATCCCCGTCGACCTACAGTCGCCTACCCAAAGCTGACAACCTCATCGAACGCAAAGACAAGATCGAAGATGTTGTCCAGAACAGCATCCTCCGTTACTGAGGTCTTCACTACTTCCTGCACCACCTGCGGTCAACCACTGGTCATCATCCCACTACCGCCTCTGACCATTACGTTAGTGAACAGCTTGAGCGTATCCAGATCCTCCAGGATGTTCGACTGTTTCGTCGTGATAAGCACCTGATCCGCAGCGTACCCCTCAGTGAACCCCACTCTAATTACCAAGTAGAGCTGCTCTATGGGTTGATAAACATAACGAATATTCTCCGTCTCGATGTAGGTGTGATCGGACTTCTGATTTTCTACCAACTTCATAAACGCTCCCAGTAGACCTACATACAGACCACTCAGCGGAGCCTAGCGATTCACGATTGGAGAAAATAACCTTCAATTCGTAGTCTAGGCATATCGACGAACTGTCGAGCTAGAAGTGTCTTCTGTTTGGAAACCACTGCTGCTGATAAAACTACCATTAACGATGGATGTTAGTCGTAGAAGAAAAAACAAGTAACTCCAATTGGAACTACAACCACCAACAACTCCACAGGTACAAGACTCCTAGGAAAAAAGGCGCTTCTACTACTACTGCGACCAAAAAATACACTATACTGCTATACGGTGTTGAATAGAGTAGCCCAGCCGCCATCATGGCCCATCATGGTTTCACTCTAGCCCTTGGTCCCCTGGCCGGGCAGTCATCGCCATCATCTCACCAAGGGTAGGGGAGATAGCTAAATCGATGAGCAGACCACGAGCCCTGTCCAGGATGGTGACTTACCATTAGGTCCTCCTCCCTGTTGTCCCCTCTTGCGCCCCAGGACCAACCCCCTGAAGGCATCAATCTACCAAGTGTATCACCGAGACCAACTACTACTTCTTAGGTCCACCAGCCATCGGGAATGATCCATCATATCGGTCATCAACTCCAGATGGTTGGATGTCCACAGCAGCACTGGTGAAGCCACCACCTAAGGGCCCAAGATCCGACCGAGCTCCAACGACCACTCCGACCTTCAAACCTCTGACTACTACTGCCCCCTAGAGGACCCCTCTCCCCCTCCTCTTCGTAAGGACCCAAGACATTGTCACTCCCAAAGCCCGTCGGGGAATCATCAGCCCCAGAGGGCATCATACGAGCCCGTAGCCTCTCCTCTAACCATCACCAACCAACTGCTAGAGTGTCACCACCCAAGTGTGAATACCTTTGGCCTGTTGGGCCCGTAGTCTAGCCAACTCGAGTTGCTTCTTCTTAGCCACCTCCTTGGCCTCATTCATCTGACATGAGCCCTCCCTCATCAGCCCGGCCAACTACCAAGCCGTCTTACTTTGCTCTGTTCGATCATCTGAGCCAATCTCTCCTCATGGGAGTCCATCTCGGTATAGGTCTTTATTTGGGATAGAGTAACAGCCTCTCGATACCTAGGCAACAGCATCACCTCACCCCCGTCGACCTACAGTCGCCTACCCAAACGTAATGATCTCGTCAAAGGCAAACACTAAATCGAACGCGTTGTCCAACACAGTTTCCTCACAAACACTAGTCTTAACAACCTCGGGGACAACCTACAATGATTGTGATCAACCTAGAGTAAGCAGCGAGTACCGTCGTGAGTAGCTTCAGCGTGCCAAGATCCTCGAGAATATTAGACTCCCTGCTCGTCAAAAGGACCTAACTCCCATATACGTCCACTCAGCTGCTGCTGTTGCTGCCTACCAAATAGAGCTGCTCTATCGGTTGATAAACATAACGAATATTCTCCGTCTCGATGTAGGTGTGATCGGACTTCTGATTTTCTACCAACTTCATAAACGCTCCCAGCAGACCTGTACAGGGACCATCCCCCTCCCCCCAGCCCCTCTTCCTCACCCTCTATCCTGAGCCTTGCCACGTCAACGAACTGCCTGGCCAATAAGACCTTCTGGTCCGATACTATGGCGGCCGATAACACCACCATATCACCGCTCAGGGAATGTAAGATTCAAAAACTGCCACGGACATGCCCTTCACATCAGGTCACTCAACGCAACACCAACGACTTCAGAAAATCATCATCACTAAATCACCATCATCATCGGCGCCTCGGATACCCTCCGCTCCGCTTCGCTTTTTTACTACGAGATTTCCCATCACTAGCATTGATAGTAGCTTCAGTAGCAACAGGACAACCCCGGACCATCTACGAATGACGATGAGCTTCTTCCCACTACCCCCAAAGACTGATTCACCTTGTCCAACTCTCCAGCGAAATGCTCTAGACCGAACTTCTGCCGTACCCAGTCCTCACAGACCTTCCCTCTGTTGGCCTGTGACGATACCATACACTCCAACGACATTAGCTTTAGAAAAGTGCCAACACGGGGACGGGGGCATACCCTCTCATAGTACCACCCCTATAACGGAGTTTCGCCAGTGATACGAGAAACACTAGTGAAAAATAGATTTCACGACTACTTCATATCGCGAGTATCGTGTTCTACGCTACTTCACGTAAAACTGGCGAAACTCCAATGATACTAGTATGAGCGAAAATATGAATATCACCATAAAAGATCGTCAAACTAACTTCAATGGGAATTGAAGTTTTTACTACATCCTTATGTTGGAACTCTTTCATAGCTCTGCAGAATTCATAGGGCTCGGCCGGGCCTTCACAGCAGAGTCGGCCAGTCTTGCCATCACAGATACTCTCCAGAGGTCCACCACTACGAGGAGCGATGACAGGAGTGCCTGAGGTATCTTTAGGTCGACCACACAAGATACAGAAAAGGTCCAGAGTGACTACCTAATGCCATGCTTTCACATGGAACTATACCGAAGTGTTCCCTACTGGGAGTGTACAAAGTGGCCAAGGCATTTCGCAGAAGCCACAGCCTCACACCGTCCGAAACCGAACGTAGGAAGATGACTTCCCTTCCCATCCCTCGAGCCTTCTCCTGAAAGACACCCGTCAAAGAGAGCAACACTTTCAGATGGTATCACCTTCAGTTCACTATAGTGTTCGACATTTTCTCGAACCCGGGAGTCGTAACCACCAGCTACTACTAGACGTGGGAGTGAATCGACGTCAACGGCGGATGCATCAGAGGACCCAAGAAAGAGCTTATAAGCCGCAATAGCCAAGGCAATATTCTTCTTACGCTCGTATCTGGCCGAATACCACACTTCCTCCACTTCACAACAACTACTACTACCTATTCAAAGACACATAGAAGCCGCTCTTGACCAGCTCTGCCGCGATGCTTGGATCCAGCTCGTCCTTAGGTGGGATGCGTGGTCCATTAGCGAGGAAGGCATCGGTAGCAGTAAGGTCCACAGGGGGGTACACCACCTACCATCACCATCCTCAATAGCCCTTGCATCATCTACTACCCGGAGCTCCTTCCCTTTCAGTGATGGGAAGGTCCTCCTAGTAGTCTCCTTGGTAAATTGACTATTAACGGCAATACAGTCCGCAAGTCCTGTGGTTAACTCCTCCATACGGTCCACTGGATACCTATTCGATGGCGATCCAATACAATTTCGTGGCGCGCGACATGGAACATTCTCTAGGCATGCTCTTTTTCATACAAGTACTACCAAATCACTACATAGTACCGAGCTTCAACCACAACGACAACCCACCCTCCCATATGGGGAGATTGAATATCATACTGTGTGCATCCACTACAGGGCTACTACCTATAGAGCCGCTTCAAGGCAAGGGTCCGATCAGCACACAGTAGCTGGTCAGGGAAATGGCAATAGAAGATGACCCGTGGCGCGATAAGGCGCAGTAGAGGGTTTATGAAGGAAACCTGAAGGTGGCCTCAACCACATGGTTGTATTCAGTCCATTCACCTGGTCATTGATAGCTACATCGAATCGGGCTCCTGATATGAACGCGTAGAGACAGAGGTAGACCATGCGGAGGATAGCACACACCACAGTGAAGTGGCCGAATATGGTGCCTAATTGGACCTATTCCGTATCTTCCACAGGCAACCTCAAGATACTTACGAGGCAGCCAGTCTCCGGCGACAGTCACTTTGAGCGTCCCATCCCTAGTAGATTGAAAACAGTGCTGTGGGTCGTGATGGGAGGTATAAAACTCCACCTTATGCCCCAACCTGAATCGCCTACTGCATTGACCCTATCAGCTGCTTCTATTACCGTTGTAGGCCCTCTGCTGCTGACACTACAAGGTTCTCAGCCCCACCGATGCCCAAGTCTAGGTGGAAGAATACCTATCCATACAACCAGAGCTCACAGGTCCCCATGGAGGCCCTAGACCCTTCATGTAACGCATGAACGTCATCGGTTCATGCAGTACGAGGGTAGCCAAGGTGCTCCTTTACTGAAACTTCAT